GCAGCTGCAGACAGCACTGCTGCCGCTCCACCTGCAGGGGAGGAACCTCAGCCTGCTGCAGCCAGTCCGCCTGCAGAGGCAGCAGCACCTGCAGAAGCAGAAGCAGCACCTGCAGAAGCTCCGGCAGCAGACAGCAGCGCAGAGCCTGCAGCTGAAGCTCCTGAGCAAGGTAGGTTGGAATCAAAAGCAGCACTGGGACAGGTCGAAGACACTAAAATAGTTTGTGCATTCATAAAATTCCCTTTACAAACCTTAAGGCCTATTTCTATATAATATTCCCATACTCCCCAATATTTTGGTAGATCTACAGACAAACACACTTTAGATTTGGCTTTCCTGTAATTCTTCTGATAATCTTTACCTGGCCAATCCCACTTCGTCTCTGCAAAATGGCCACTTTAAAGCTGTCAGCTGGAGCCTTGCTAGGCTCTAAGCATGCTCATTTTCATTGTGAGCCTTATTTTCCATGCAAATTACACCTTTCTTCTAATCTCCTAACAAAATGACCTTCTGGGGAAAGTCTTGTGACATTTATCACACTGACTGAACACTTCACTTCACTGTGTGTGTCCTGCTCTGTGTGTGTGTCTCTGCTTGTGTGTGTCGTGTGGAACCTTATCAACCTTTTTTCCCTACTTCATGCGGAAACATCTTTACAGGCATTTTAACATCCCAATAATTATTATTATCTTTAAAGGTGTGTAACATTTAGGAGCATCCTCAAATTTAATATAATACTCATACGTACTGTTTTCTTAATGTATAACCACCTTGAATATACATAGGCATGTGTATTGTTTTCATTACTTACAATGAGCTGTTTTTATCTACTCCACAGCGTGGATATCTTTCATGGAGTCCTGCCAATGTTGAACCAGCATGTTTCCTACCATTTAAGAACGGACCAAGTCAAAAACGACCTGGCCTGTACAATAAGGCACAGTTTTGCGCCACTGTAGTTTCTTCCTACAACAACTTCACGGTCCTATCTCAATTCCCAGGCGTTGCGTACAAATACCAAGACGCCAGCTGTGTTCCAGTTAGTTCAATCTTGCAACTTCACCTCTAGATGCCACTAAAGCCTACACACTGGTCCTTTAACTGCGTCTCTGTTCAAGGATTAAAACACTGACATCATTATCTAAATTTGTGAAAGTGGTTATTTAAATCTGTTACAATACAGCAGGTGGAAAACAATAGTCACTAGTCATCAAGGGAAGGGGAACATATTAGGGACCTGAGCACTGCTCCACCTCTTACACAGTGACCCAATGGACACGGGCTTCCACAGCACCCAGGTCCCTTCTGTCTTTCCCTAGACTCTCCACAGTCCCACTGCTATGGAAGTAACCAGGCGGTATCCAACAACACTCAGACATGACTTTGGCCTTAAATGAACACACCAGGAGTGGCCACAGGAATGCGTTTATAAGTCACACATCTGATAACTTTAGTTAGTATTTAAGAGTTTGTTTCAGCACTTTAAGAACAGATGGAGTTTAACTAACCAGGTAACAATGATTTAATAAATTATTATTTCAATTTTATTCCTGTTTCAACTCACAGAAGAGTTTTTTTTATTAAGCTGCAGTCTTGAAGAAATTGTTTTAAAATCTATTTAATTCTTCCTCCTGACAGTGTAGATTGTGTAGGATGTATAAATGTGGTGTGGTAGACTCATGCATGAAAAATCAGTTGATCTGTAACTATTGTCTGTTGAAGTTATTATAACTATTGTTAAGGACTATATATAGACCAGATATTAGATTCACTTAACTAATTTTTAACCAGTTGGCTCAACCACGTTGTCAGTTAAGACTTTTTAAGCTTTTTAAATTCAAGTCAAGTCAGGGGGGTTACAATCTGTATAACATTTAACACCCTCTGTCTTTAGACCCTTGATTCAGGAGATGAAAAATTCTAAAAACTTTTAACAGGGAAAAAAAAGAAAACTAGAGCCACAGAAGAGGGATCCCTCTTCCCGGATTGAAAAATTCTTCAGAATGTTTAATTGAGACATATCACTTCCTCATCCACCATGGAGATCTGGAAGAGGACAGGCCACAGAATGGATCAGCAAAAAAGAATATACAGATTTTGATGACAAAAATATTTAGATTTATACACTTTAAATGAAAAGTAGGATCCAGAAGGAAGGGAACCTGAACCTGTTACCTCTCCTGGTGCTCTGGTATTAGTGGGTGCAACATAACGATCTATAAAGAGAGCACTTCAGAGCCACTACAGGTCTGCCCAGTGATAATCTCTCTGCACAATTGTCTCTAAATGATACATAGAAGTTCTCCACATGGAGCTGAATGACACAGTGTGGCTTTACATTTACTGCTCATGATCAGTTCACTTATTGTTCCACGATGCAAATGACAAGCAGCCATCAGGTTCATGAGGTCAGCTCTTAAATTTCCTCTTTGTCTAATGCAAAGTGTCTACCACTGTAATGCTGAAAGAAAGATGGACAAAGTTGCAAATCCAATACACTGCAGACCTATGCAATTACAGTATTTT